TTCACAAAGAATTTTATGGATAAAGTTCAAACAATCAAAAAGAAAATTAAATAGAATAAATGAAATTGAAAATGTTAGAATTTTGTGTTGCTTTATCATGACTCAATGATGTTGTTGTGGTGCTGTCAAGAGGATGATGATTTGTGGTTGCATCAGTTTTGAGCTTGTGTCAACGGTATGAACATGAGCTTGTGTAAGGTTTCTGTTTTGGTTGATGAGATTTTTGTTAAAGTTGGTTCATGGGAAATTGCAAGTGAAAAGTGAATTTACAGTGCAACAAGAAGAAAAGTGGGGGTTTCCATCGAGTGGCCTCCGTACAGGATTTTGTATAAGAGAATATGAGGTTTTTTTTTGTGGAATTTTTTGTTTTTTCGTTTTAGAGAGTTCTCTAGGTTTTGTTCTTTTTTTTATCACTTGCATATGCATTATGTAATGTATTTCAATTGGAATTAAGGGCCTTGAAGCCTTGCATTCATACATAAGATTTTGCCATAAACCTCCATTGACAAACTTTCCATCTTTGTACCAATTTTGAATTCTTGCTTGATTAGGCCTTGAAACAAATTTGGGATGTTGTATAATGATGATTCAAAGCTAATCAAGACCAAATATGCCCCTTAATTAACCTTCTTGATTTTTATTTGATTTTAAAGGATTTAAAATGAATTAAATCCAATAAAATCAAATAAAAATGAAAAAATTAATTTTAAAATTTGAAATAAAATGTGGGACACGTGGGAAGCATGGCCAAGCTGATTCAAATGGAAAAAGTGGGCCCCTTTTGTCAAAAATGAAATTTCAAGGATAAATGATTTTGGCCATTTCACAAAAATTTCCCAACTTCTCCAATGCATATCTTGCTCAATTTTGAAGTTATGAACATGTTCTTTGACATTTTGGAAAGGTCTTGAAGTCCTATAATCAATTTCTTTGGTCCCATATCATTTTGATTTACCAATCTCAAGTTATGGTCTTTGACTTAAAGTGCCTTTTTGTTGAATTTTGAAAATGACCTATAATGTTGAAATTGATAACTTTATGTGAGAGCATTTCTTGGACTTGGAATGTGAAGATGAATTGTAGGAAATGTATTCCCCTTAAAGATGAGCATTGGATGGAATTTTTCTGATGAACCATGAAAAAGTTATGCCTTGGTCAAGTTACAGTTGACTTTTCAACTGTCCAAAAATAGAAACTTTTGCATCTTGAGACTTTTTGAGCCATACTTTGAGAATCATGATCAAGCATTGACCAAATGATGTTTGTGGCTTCAAAATAAGATGTTGACCAAAATTTTTGACTTTTGACTGCCAAATGACCATTTTGCCCCTACAGTTGACTGTTGAGCAATTAGGTTTTTTGACTGTGCAACTTGACCTTGTGAGCCTTGAAACTTGACATGTAGGTGCTTGACAATGTGTATGAGCATGGGACTTGATTGAGCCCTTGAAAACCTCAACTTCCTTGCAGGAACCAATAACCCTAGTTTGACTGGCTTAGGAGGATGGTTGACTGGGTAGCCCTTGAGTAGACTTTGAACCATTTGAGGTGATGCTTGTCAAAACTTTGAAGATTTTGGAGGGCAAATTTTGGGGTACAACAGATCTGCACCAAGAGGAAATAATAGAGGCAACCAAATTAGAGGAATGCCTTCTCAACCAATAGTATTGCCTCTCACTAACACTTCTGTAGCACTTTTAAGGAAACAAATGGATGATAGTAACCATGAGTTGGTTAATATGTTAACTAACCAAATGAGTAATGTATTTAATCCTAAAGCAACCCTTAACTTGAGTTATGGATGGTTGGAATGCTCTGGAGCAGTCAAGAAGCAAAGTTCTGATTTTTGAAATGGATAGTGGTGAAGACTGTATTACAGTTTGAAAAAAGAAGTTGGGAAAGCTTCTACGTGTATACCAGAAACTGTATGGATGATTTGGCCAAGAAACAGACAAGAAAAATTAGAGTTTGGATGCAAAAATCAGAAACTAGCAGGTTTTGTGTTTGTGTTGCAGTTTCAGGTTCTTGGGAATTTTCAGCAAGGTTTCAGGGAGTTTTTCAATCTTCCTTCAGTTTGAAAATGAAGTTTAATTTATAGGCAAAAGATTTAGAAGCTTGGAGAAGTCCGGAGTACAGCCATCACGTGTTGTGGATTGTTGACTTGTTTTTTAAGCAAGTTTAGACAAGCATGATTTGAAGGCAAGGTAGGGTGGTTAGCAACTTTAAACACGCTTAATCTGAGTTTATAGGCATGATTTGTGGGGAAGTTCACTCAGAAACAGAGTAAAGTATGGGCTCAAAATAAACTTTGTACAAAAGTTTGCTTTTCAAAAACAGCAGTGGTACTTTTATACCACACGTGGGAAGATCTTTTGGATAAAGGCTTAAACACTAGGATAAAGACTCAAAATTTGGTGTAAGCATTAAATTATGATGAGATTTAACAAGCAAGAAGGCATGCAATATGAGATTATGCAGCATAGCTTGAAACTGGATTAGAAGTTCAGCATAAACGTAACTTAGATTAAGAACAAATGTCCAACTTCTGATCTTTGATTCTCCCTGCTCCAGCATAATCTGAAGGAGTTCTCATACTTTTCAGAAATCTTATAACACGCTTTGTAACCCCTCTTTGAATCATTTTTGCAAACTCTGATTGTACCTACGTGAAAACTGGCCCAAAAGTTTCAATCAAATTCTGACTTGGAAATGCTCAGAATTTACTAAGTGTTTCAATTTCATGGACTTGTCTTCAAGGGTTTATAACTTAAAATCTCAGCATTTCTAGAGAGAGTTCTGTTCTGCAATGTTTTAGATCTCGTTGAGATATACAACTTCTGTGTCAGAAGTTCTTCCTGAATCATCTTGCATCATGATGAAAATCTGGCCAAAAGTTCTGAACTTATCATATTTTCTTAACACTTAGAAAAATTTCTAAGTGTTTAGAAATTTGACTTTTCCAAAGTAATTTTGACTTTTGATTTTCTTGATGAATCAACTTCATATTCTAACATGTCTTGATGAAATGTAAACTTGATTTTGATCAAAAAGTCAAAGTTTGACTTTTTAGTGTGCATTTTGACCATTTTGCCCTTGTGCCAATTCCAAACCTAAATTGATGTATCAGTGCTGCAAACTTGAGTCATAGAAGATCTTGTGAGAAAATTCTTGAGAAATGAGAGGGAAAATTTTGGGGTACAACAGCCACCAATCTTGATGCCACCAATTCCCGGAAGACCGCTCTTCGTGTATCTAACAGTGCTCGAAGGGTCAATGGGATGTGCATTAGGACAACATGACAAAACGGGTAGAAAGAGCATGCAATATACTATCTCAGTAAGAAATTCACCGACTACGAAACCAGATACTCACTCCTCGAAAAGACTTATTGTGCATTGGCTTGGGCTACTAAAAGATTGAGGCAGTATATGTTAACCCACACCACATGGTTAATAGCAAGAATGGATCCTTTAAAGTAAGTGTTTGAAAAACCAGCTCTTATAGGAAGAATTGTCTGATGGCAAATGTTACTATTAGAGTACGAGATCCAATATGTTACTCAAAAAACCATCAAGGGTTGTGTACTGGCTGGCCAACTAGCTCCTCAACCATTACCAGAATATCAACCAATGAAGTTTGAATTTTCAGACAAAGATGTCATGGTTATAGGTGACTATGAAATACCAGGACCCGACGAAAGCCCTGAACAAGGAGCATGTTGGACACTCATGTTTGAAGATATTGAGTCGGATGATGACGATATTGAGTTGGATGGGGACCATCTTCAGTTGGATGAGAACGATCTTCAGGAGGAAGATGATTCGAGTGAGATTCATATCATCAACATAAGATATTATATTTGGCCCGTCAGAAGTTTGTAAGTTTCTTATTTATAAATATTTATTTAAGTATATATTTCTATTTTTAATATAAATTTATATTTAATGTTACTTTTAATTATTATTGTTTAGTTTCTGACCGAGTTGGACTGCTGTCAAGATTGTAAATTATGTAATTCAACAAATATATAAACAATTTTAGAAGAGTTTTAAAGAAGTTTAAGATAAAAAAGTTTGATTCAAATTATTTAAGGTATAATTAATTTACTTGTTATTTAAATATTTTATTATAATTATTTAACTATTTATTTTAATATTCGAATGTCATGCAACTTCTTTGGATAGTAGTAGTTGATAAGGAATAAGGTTATAGAACCTATAGATCAAGTATGTATTCGCCTTGAAAAAGCATATGATCCAAGCAGGGAACCGAAGTAGGTCATCAGATGACATATGACCTATGACAGTATGAATTACATGTTGGCTTCTGTCGACCAAGACGATCATGATTGGACGAAAAGGGTCATCAAAAAACAATAATAACACTCTATATAAAGGGGCAAAAGAGCAAAACCAAATGTAGACACTATTTCCTCGGTTTGTTTTAAAATGATTTTCATTTAAAATTTTTGTATATATATTAAAGAATGAAATAGTGTTATCATAATATATTATATTTTTATAAAATTAATTTTATTAATATATTAAAAGTAATGTCAAAAGTACGTATGATTTTTATTGTTAACATTTTTATTGTTACAAAATACTTTCTATGATATGTCATTTTAAAGGAGATTAGTGGAAAATTAGAGTGTCTCTTTATTTTAAATGGAGGAAGTAAGTGTAATATTTCTTTCATTTTACTTTTCTATTTTTTATTAGTAACTCAACTTTTTCTAGAAGATAAGATATATAGATGAAGTTTCAACTTTTCAACTTTCGATTTGTAAGTATATGCTTTTGGTCAAAAAGATGAAAGGAACATGCATGAGAAGTTAAGTGGGGTGTCAACATCATGAATTAACATTGCTTGAATACACCACAAAAATTGTATGGACCCCACGTACCTACACGACCTTATGATAATAAATCAGTGAATGTAGCTGGTACATTTGTGTATATGACCATTAACATTCATAGAGAAGTAACAAAAGTGTGATAATGGCAGAAGGAAAAGGAAGAGTTTGTGTAACAGGAGGTACAGGTTTTATTGGTTCATGGATTATCAAGACACTTCTTGAAGATGGTTACACTGTTAATACCACTGTTAGAGCTGATCCAGGTAAAATATTCATTTCTACTATATTTTCAATATTAATTTCTACTATCTTCTTAATATTGTTTTCCATTCAATTGTAGAGAAAAAGAGAGATCTTAGCTTTCTCACAAATCTTCCGGGTGCATCTGAAAAGCTGAAATTTTTCATTGCTGATCTTAGCAATCCAGAAAGTTTTAGTGCAGCCATTGAAGGGTGTGTTGGAATATTTCACACTGCCACTCCGGTTGATTTTGAAGTGAACGAACCGGAAGAAATAGTGACAAAAAGAACTATTGATGGAGCTTTAGGAATTCTAAGAGCATGCAAAAATTCAAAGACGTTGAAGAGAGTTGTTTACACTTCAAGTGCTTCAGCTGTTTCTTTTCAAGAGAAAGAAGAAGATGTATTGGATGAAAGTTATTGGAGTGATGTGAATATTCTAAGAAATTTGAAGCCATTTGGTTGGTCATATGCAGTTTCTAAGACACTAACTGAGAAAGCTGTTCTTGAATTTGGAAAAGAACATGGATTGGATGTCGTCACTATCGTACCAACTTTTGTTATTGGACCCTTCATTTGCTCTAAGCTTCCTAGCTCAATTTATGCTTCAATGCCTTTCTTATTTGGTAAGTGTGTATTTTTAATATTAATGTTTTCTAGTCTCTTTAGTCTTGATCATTTGATTGCACTCATACATCAAAGTTATTAGCACATCTTGTCAATTGGTTCATATCTTTCATTCAATAAAATTTTGAATTTTTGAATATTTGTACGGGCTAAAGTACCATATTCTGGGAAACAAGATCTGTTCATGTAATGGTGGTCAAATTCCCTATATTTTCCATGGAATCTTTGTCTATCAATTCAACTTGGAGGTTACACATATAGATCCATGGGTTTTTGTAGTGGCAGTTGTTGTCATCCCACTATCTGAAACGTGGGAAAAGGAAACTTTTTCCCCCACATGAAAAGATGGTTTTTCTATTATATGGTGTATACCTCGAACACCCTATTAGTCAAAAGAATATTTTTTTTGAAGACCCAGCTCGTACGTTGACTCTCATGGCAACAAGGATCCTTTGATAAGGGTACAACGTAAAATAGCCTCTTTGGGGGGAAATGATTCTTTAGTAAAGATCTATTATAAAATATCCCCTTTGGACACCAAAGATCAAAGATCCTTCAATGAAGGTCTAGGGTAAACCAGTCTATTTGGGCATGCATGATCCTTTAGTGGAGGTCCTACTTAAAATAGTCTTTTTGGGAGGCAAGGATTTTTCAGTGGAGATTCAACGTAAAATAGCCTCTTTAAATGGAAAAGATCCTTCAATGAAGGTCAAGCGCAAAATTGGATATACAACGAGCAAAGATTAGTTACTCAAGAAGATATGGTGTCTCATTAGAAATCCTCCTCTCTTTAGAGTAAAAGAGGGATACCCTTTTAATTTAAATTAATTGAAAAAATATTCAATATAATGGTATCCTAAAATGCCTCACTTTAATCATTAAAACCATACGGAATAATTATCTAATTTAATTCCTCAAACCACTAAACTCCGGGATCCCTAAACAAATTTTGTCACAATTACATTATAAACCCACACTCTCTATGAATAGGGCGAGCAACTCCTCCTCTATCGGGATGGAGTTATGCTTGATAACATGAAGCTTTTGGGGAAAATCCTAGATATCCTCTAGACTTTTAGTAGGCGCCTTTATTTCCTTCCTGGGATCCATTCTAGGGATTGGGTCCATGAAGTTCATTCCCCACATGCTAGATGACATAGCATTAGTTACTGCCATTGTCACATTCCTTACCCTCAAAGTGTCATGATAACATGTTGTAAGTGGTAGAAGAATCTTCTATGGTCATAACATGTTGGATGTACCATATTTGGGAGGATCTAAACTCACCATCTCCCGCGAAATCTACAACTATGGTAGTTAGAATATGGTAAACTAGTTAGTCTTTCTATCTTTCCCCTTGCTCCTTGTAATTCCTAGATTTAAGGCTTCCTGGTTTCTCTCGCCCTTTATATTTGGACCCGCCTCCTTAACTGGTAGGAAGCTCCTTAGAAGTATTTCTTCAAATGACCTTCTTAAATAAACTGCTTGATTTCCTTCTTCACTTGGTATAATTCCTCCGCGTGGTTGTAACACCCTAAACCCCAAGTATAATTTATAAAACATTGCAGAAAATATGATGATAAAAGCAAAGGAGTCACATTGACTAAAACCTTTCAATTGATATTTCAACACGGAATTAACTTCAAAACAACATAACATTGTTATTCAAGTAAGCAACTTAGAAATGAAACATGGTATTCCCAACCCAGTGTTACACTATCAGAGCGACAAGAGGAATACTAAATAGATGACAACAATACGAAAAACATAAAACTGTAAATAAAACAACGAATAGGTGAGCTACACCATCTTTCATAGTTAAGAACAACAACTACTCCTCAGTCTCAACCTGAGTATCTGCAAAATAAACATATTGAGCAACATAGAAACAAGAAGAAAGGGGTGATAATACATTCCACAAATAAAATGGTGATAAAACAACAAGGATATTATAATCATCATATACAATCAAATCGCAATCACACAATCAGATAACATAGATGATTATTCATGCAATTTTAATTTCTTCTACTCTGATGCATGTGGTACCAATCTCTTGGATATCAGAGGTATGTTAGGGATGTTTCCAACCCATCACTGGACTGAAGTCCTACTTGTCATTGGACCAAAGTCCTACTCATCACTAGACCAAAGTCCTACCTATCTCAAATATAAATGATCCATGAATGCTACAGTTAATACAAATCTACATCCACAATCCTCCAACTTCAATCCTCATCATTGGACATAAGTCTTACACGTCATTGGTTCTTTCAAACCTAAACACATCATCATCAAATAATTGTCAGTGTAAGGCCACGTCACTGGTTGTCCTGAACCTAAACGTGTTAACACTGGTTCTTTCGAACCTAAACATATAACATATGAACTCTAACAATTAGAGTTAAAACAATGATATGTCTCAAACCTAAACATATCAACACAGGTTCTCCCGAACCTAAACATATCAACACTATTTCTCCTGAACCTAATCATAAATCACATCAACACTTTTGTCCTAACCTTAAAACTTAACTTGTATACGTATTATCAGCCATTAGACTTATGTCCTAAAACATTAACAACTTAATTCACATAGCATCCTATCAAAACAACCCCAAAATCATATTTCCTACTAGTCATACCTTAGATTTAAGTAATTATTTAACATATCAAATGAAGTCAGAATCAAGAAAATGAATATGTTTAGGAAAGCTTAGAGAATACATTTTAATTAATATGATTTTTGTTTTAGTATTTAAGAACCCAATCGATACAGTTTAATCAAACATTAGGAATTGATACATGCTTTAGGTAGAATGTTTCAACGAACTTGTAACTAGTATTTCTCCTACTGAACTTAGTGGAATAAGATGTTGATTAAGTCTAATATGTATGACATTTTTTCAATACAAACTCACCAAAATCATTGTCAAACTCACTCAATCACACAAGAGTATTCATCAATAAAAAACATATAATTGTACAATCTGTATATAATGCAATGCAACAATCAACTCGACTCAAGCTCATCACGGTCCCCACTCTGAACCGGACTCACAACTCAACTCTATATGCATATGGTATCCACTCAACATTTAGTTCTTCATACAAATCGATTCCCCACATCTGATCTCCAAACCCTCATATCTGAGTTAGGGACAAGTCACTAGTCCCCACTCTGAACTAGAGAACATGCCTCTTTCACAACAACAACAATGTATGATGCATGGAATATCACAATACAATGAAAATAATTCAATAATGAATGTATCCTCACTCTAACTGTAATTACTCATGCATTCACTACATAAAGAGTAGTTCTCACTCCGAACCACTCGTCTCATCAATCATCAATAAGCATGTACAATAATCATACAATCATACATATGAAACAAAATAATTATTCATGAAATGGTAATTCATTTATACATTAATCATCTCCAACTGCACTACCATGAGGTATATATTCATGTTATCTCTAACACTTCGAACGGCGTCTCAATTGGAGTCATGAAACTCAAGTTATGACATTTTAAAGCAACACTATATTGTGAGCATCGCCAAGAGAGCATCTTGCTCGCTGAGCGAGGTTTCAAACTCAGAATCCCCATTTTTCTCTGCATAGCTCTAGGGGCGAGCCTTTGGTCTCGTCGGGCAAAAATTCTCGAATCTGCACAACTCATATTATGATTTTTCACCGTTGGAGGCCTTTCGGACCTCCGATTTCAATTTCGTAAAAAGCCAAATGCCCAGAAATCGACGCACAATAATTATATCATGTTTATAACATGAAAACACAACTAATTTCACACCTAATTCATCCAATTATGATTAATATTATTGTTATGTTTCAAACCTTCAAAACCTCAACAATGGCATACATTTCATAGACAAAAACAAAATTGAACACATACGACTTCAGTCATGAAAAATAGCCAACAACAATATTCCATCATCAATTTTTAAATTAGTATACAACAACAAGGAATACCAAAATCACAATCATTCATCCATCATACTCACCATTAGACAATAAAAAAAGACAAACTCTATTGGAGGCTAAGGGAAAGCTCTCTACTCTTTCATGATTTATGTACCCTTAGATGAATAATCTCCCCCTTTACCTTGTAAATCATACAAAAGCAACATTCTACGGTCTTCTCTCCAAAAGCCCTAGCTCTCCCTTCTAATTTTTTGCTATATATTATCCTCTGTTTCACATACTGATAAAACCATATATTTCTCTCAACTTCTCTTTTTATAATAACAAAAATCCCTATTTTAGTTTTTTCTATTCTATCCCCACTTACTCTTGAAATCCCTACTTTACCCTTTCCCTTAAATTTCTATTTTATTTTAATTATTAAAATAATTCTCAATAATTCCAAATTATTCTAACCCATTTCTACTCTCTCTCAACACCCCAAATATCAAGGTCACACATTCTCACAACCCACAATTATTTAATTACTACACACAATAATAAAATAAAATATTTCAATTCATCAATACTTCGGATAAAAGAATTAAATCAAATAGGGGTCTTACAGAAGACACTCCTTCCATCAAACTTTGTTAATGAATGGGGTTTGAAATATTTTGGCACGGGCCCCCCTAAGATTTCACTGGAAAGCGCTTAGTTATGGTGCATGATTCTTCCATAAAGGCTTATATATGTACTATGGTCCAATGATTGTTGTTGGAACTTCTATCGGCTAATGTGGCACCTGCCATTTTCACCATCTCGAGGGTGACAATTTAGAATATTTTCGAGGAGAATAGAGTTGTGACCTAAGTTTGGTTTATCAGGGTCACATGATGGTTGAAATTATACTAGCTAAAGTACACTATTTATGAAAAACAAAATTTGTTCATATAGTGGTGGTTAGAGACCCTGTATTTTCCCCTGTGAATTATTGTATGTCCTTGTACCTGAGAGGTTAAGGAAATTATATAGATCCATGGGTTTTTATAGTGGCAATTGTTATCACCCTATTATCATAAACGTGGGACACCGAAACTCTTTCCCCACTCATGGAAAGACAATTTTCCTCCATTATCCATATTTCCTCATCATTATTCCATGTGTGATAAGTGAACCCAAGCCCTGTCAGGCAACTGTTCCTACCCTTTGGGTAAAATACCTTAAAATTTCTTTTCACATTTTCATTTTAAACAGTTGTCCATATTTTTTATCCAAAACTTGAATTTTTTTCAATATTATTTTAAATTACCTCAAATAATAATGATTTTCAATGAATATAGAAAGGTGAAGTGTCTCTCATAAAAGGGATCAGAGGAAGTATTAAAATGTCATTTGATATTTATTTATAGAATTTTTTAAATATTTTTTCTCGTGGATTGAACAATATCTTGCTCTTATATATATTTTATTTCACAAGTAGAGATCGTCATTTATGTATAATTGCATATTCTATTGATATCTTTATGAACATTAAATGATTTTAAATATTTCAAGAAATAAATATTGATTAGAGTTAAAGGTAGTGCATAGAAAGTGTAAATTAATACAAATCACGCGCTAAGGCTCTGCTAGGGTTTTCTTTTTGGGGTATGTTTGAAACCTTATCGGTGACGCCTCCAGTGCCACCGCCTGAACCACCAAAGGGTGATCGGGACAAGGGAATGAGGTCAAATCATAAAAACCAGAATGTTGTCAATATTTTGTATAGAAATATTGTTTCTAGTGAGGATAATGCTACGATGCAAGATAGGGAAAACGAAGTGCATAACTCAGATCATGATGAATCGTGGGATAATGAGTTGGAGGGAATATTAGATGGGATCAAAGTTAAAGATTCCAATATTGGTGGATATGATTGTCCACAAATGATATTGTCCAAATATGAAGAGAAAAGAATTCACCGATCATGGAGACGCGGAGTTATCGTGAAGCTATCGGGAAGGAGAATATGGTATAAGGCTTCAGAGACACGACTGAAGCAAATGTGGGTGAGGAAATGAATCATCAACATAATAGATCTCAGTCATGACTATTATTTGGTAGCTTTTACTCATGAAGGTGATAATAATATGTCATTATCTAATGGTCCATGGTTTATATATGATCACTATTTAACTGTGAAAGAGTGGACGCCCGATTTTTACCCAGAGAGTGAGTCCATTGTTAATTTTTTTGTTTGGATCAGAATATCAGGTCTCGCAATTGAGTATTATGATCCAAATTTTTTGCATATTATAGGTGATCTGGTTGGGAGAACGATTAAGGTGGATAAGAATACTCTTCAACGGGAAAGGGGAAAATATGCAAGATTCTGTGTTGAAGTAAACATTTCAAAACCATTACTTGTTATATTCTCTATTAAAGAAAGCAGCTACAAGATAGAGTATGAGATAATCCACATGATATGTCTTTGTTGTAGAAAGTTTAGCCATTACAAAGATGACTGCCAGCAGAGAATTAAGGACATCGAGGTGGTAAACCAAGGAGTCATAGTAGATACCATAAGAGTTTTTGATGCTAACAATAATAAGAAGAATGATCAAGCAGTCATTATTAATGATGACGAACCGTGGCAAGTTGTTCAAAAATAACGACATGGACGGAAGCAACCAGAGGCGAGAAAGAAACAACCAATGATCAACTCGGGGAGCATGAAATCGGGATCTCGTTTTACGACTCTAAATGGTGACGTGAGCGAAACTAGTGGATAAAAAAGGACACTAATAATGAGAAGAAAATAATCATGGAAACTCATAATGAAATCTTGATTGGGAGAGATATTTTGAAAGACAAGCGCAATGGTGATGATTTAATTATAATAGAGGAATTGGCTGAGAAGAATAATAAAGAGGAGTTAATTTGGCCGGTAAAAGGGTTGGTAGCCAATGATAAGGAAAGGAATAGTAGTTATGGGAATGTTAGTGGGAATACAGATTGCAGTCATGGGTGGCTAACAAAATAATTATTAATAATGGGAAGAATAAAAGGAGACAAGTAGATAATAAAGGAAGGGATAAGAAAGCTAATAAGCTGGAGATACGTGGCAGAACAGGAATAACAGGGGAAAACATTGAATCAATGAGGCGTGCTATTGAAGGGATGTATGAGAAGGATAAATACATGCCTTTTCTTGAAAAAGAACATGTCAACGTGAAACATACAAAGGGGACATATAGTTTTAATCTTGAAACACACTTCAATCATCACAACAATAATCAAGAAGAAGATGAATTTGATCATCACAAAGATAAGAATGCTTTCATATTTCAACAAGACCAAGACCCCCATATGATAACATGAGTAAGAAGGAGACTGAAGGGACACAAAGCTTGGAGATGCATGAAGATACAACAAATGGCAAGAGCATCAAGGGAAGTGATGAGTGCCAAAGGGACCATAAAATGATGGAAGAGGAAGTTGTGCAGGAGATGCCTGAAGGGTGTTGAGTTGTGTAGTAGGGAATACTGAATGCACTTTTGTTTTTTATTTTAATAATGATTAGACATATAAATATCATAACTTGGAACTGTAGAGGAGTTACGGGTAAATATTTTTTTAGGTTTAGTAAATATTATACTGATATATACAAACCTGAGATATTTATGTTAATGGAAACTAGAGGTGATCCGATGAAGCTTTAAAGTCCCTTAAAGAAACTGGGTGTTCAACAATTTATATATGTGGATAACCTTAGATATGTGGAAAGCATTCTGGTAGCTTGCAAAGAGGATAATATGAAGGCTTGTCTGATTAGTATAGGTGAATATTTTATTCACATGCACGTAAAAAATAAGCAAGGACACGAGTGGATGTTTACTGTGGTGTACGCAAGCCCTAATGAATATAATAGAAGAAATTTCTGGGAGAATATGAATATAATATATAATACCATTAATAAACCATGGCTTGTAGCTGGAGATTTTAACAATATAGCTTTCGCCAATGACAAGAAGGGTATGAGCTCATGAAGAATCTTCAAAGAATAGAAATTGATGGAAAAGAGTGGAAGAATTATTTTGTTCAACATGTGAAGAGGGTGAAGAGAGGTTTAATGGCTCGTCTTCAAGGCATTTAAAGAAACATTCAAAATAGACAAAACACCACAGGTCTATTGATATTGGAGAAAAAACTGCAGGGTGAGCTTAAGACAATCTTGAGACAAGAGGAACTCACGTGGTTTCAGAGATCTAGAACCCACTTCTTAGTTGATGATGATCAAAATACTAAGTACTACCATTTGAAGACTGCCAACATGAGGAGAGGTGATAAGATTCTCATGATTAAGGATGATAGTGGAAGGTGGATAGAGGATAGAGATCAGATTAAAGTCTTGGTAATGATTTCTACAAAAAGCATTTTTTTATATTGGGGGAAATTGGAATAGCTGGAAGCAAACTAATATATCCTTTCCTAGAATCTTGGAGAAGGACATTCTTAATATGATGGATGCTAAAGTGAGCAATGATGAGGTGAGAAAGGTTGTTTTTGACATGAAACCTTGGAAGGCTCCTTGGCCTGATGGATACCATGTAGGTTTCTATCAAAAATCGTGAGGAGTGGTTGGTGCTAGTGTTTGTGATTTTATGAGAAAGATGTGGGAGAAACCTAGTGAGATTGTGCATGTGAATAAAACTGACATATGCCTTATTTCGAAAATTGCAAACCCCAACTTAGTATCTCAATTTAGACCAATATCGTTGTGCAACACAATTTATAAAGTCTTAAGCAAGATTGTGGTGGGGAGACTCAAGCAGCATATGGATAAATTGATATCTCATTATCAAATTGGCTTTGTTCCTGGAAGGCTTATTCACGAGAACATTATTATTGCTAGGGAGGATATGTATACGATGGAGAGAATGAAGGGGAAAATATGTTCTTTTGTCATTAAAGTAGACTTGTCTAAAGTTTATGACAAGTTGAGCTGGGAATTTATTTGGAGAACTTTGCGAGAGTTTCAGATTGCAGACAACATGATGAATGTTATAATGCATTCAGTTACAAGTGTTGAAACGAATGTGAATTGTAATGGAGACATAAATGATTTCTTTCATCCTCAAAGAGGTATTCGTCAAGGTGATCCAATCTCACCTTACTTGAACAAGAAGTTGCGAGTAAAAGATGAAAATGAATTAATTTAGGGAGGCAGGGAATCATGGTATCGCATCTCATGTTTACGGAAGATTTACTTATCTTTGGAGAGGTCACTGAAGCTCAAATGAAGTGTGTCATGGAGACTCTTGAAAAATTCTGCCAAATGTCTGGTCAGGAGGTGAGTCAGGACAAGACTAGTATTCTTTTCTCCAAAAATGTTAACATGAGCATGCAAACAAAACTCCAACAACTATCTAAATTTAGAAGTACTAAGATTTTTGGCAAATATCTGAGAGTACAATTAAGTGGGAAAAAGCTCAAAAGTAATGACTTTCAGTACATTATGGAGAAAGTGGCTGCAAAGTTAAATTGTTGGAAGAAGAACAGTCCGCGCTTGCTGGGAGAATTACGTTGGCCAAAGAGCGTTATTGAGGCTATACCGTTGTATCTAATGATGACAAATAAATTGCCTAAGTTTTGCATTGATTCTATTCATGGCTTGCATATGAGATTTGTATGGGGGCGATACTGATGAAAAATGAAAATTGCATGTGATTGCATGGGACACGGTTACGTTGCCAAAAAAAATTGAGAGGGACTAGTTTAAGAGATCTTAATGTCCTGAATCAGGTGCGTTTAATGAAAATTGGATGGCATATGTATAATAATTCCAATGATCTCTGGTGCACAATGTTGAGGAATAAATACAGAATCCTTGACAGTAATGATTGTTTGAAGATAAGGTCAATTGACTAGAGTCTTAGGAAGGATGTTGCTAAAACTATTCCAATCATGATGAAAACAGGCATGTGGGTAGTAGTAGATGGTAAGAATATTAGGGCCTGGGAAGATTATTAGCTATGGAAGGTGTTTTGGTTGAGTGACTACAACGTGATAATTCCAGAAGAACTTAGCGAAGCTAAAGTGTGTGATTTGGTTACTGAGAGTGGTGAGTGGAACTTCAGTATGCTCGAGAGTTGGATGCCAGATCAATGGCTCGATAAATTGAAAGCTTACGAGCCTCCAAGCATGGAGCAATGTTCTGAAGTTTTTTTTTTGCAGGGACTAGTAATGACAAATTCTTGGTTAAGGAGATGTTCAAAGAAATAGAAGGATACAACCTTGATAATGCTGATGGAGATTGGAAAAAATATGGAAAGCTTCAGTTCTGAGAAGATGCAAGAGTTTCATCTGGATTCTCAAACATGATAGGTTGCTAACAAATTACAAGAAGAGCAAGAAAGGTTTAGGTAGTGCGGGTTGCAAGTTGTGTGGAAATGTCTGTGAAACTAACATTCATGCGTTGAAGGGTTGTTCCAACTGTTTACGGGTTTGGAAGAGTTTAGTTCCAAGTGACATGCTTGTGGATTTGTTAATGTTGATTCAATGGCAGTTGTCAAAGCTATTGAGGAAGTTGAGGTGGGGCATGTTGATTGTGTCATTATTCTTCGGCAGATTATGGAGGCTATCTCAGTTTTAGAAGTGGTTTTTATTTCGCATGTTTATCAAAATGCGAATACTTGTGCGGATTGTCTGGCGAGTCGTGGATGCATGGAAAAGAATTTTGTTATCTATGATGAAGCACCTTAATTTCTGAGGCCTTATTTAGACTCTGATACTCTTGGGATTGTTTCTCCCACATTTGAGCTAGTGTAGTTGTTTTTCTTTTTTGAGCTTAGGCGCTCCGCTTTATAAAAAAAATGTAAATCAATATTATACATATAATTAATTAAAATTTTATATTTATCATATCATATCAATATTTTAAAAATAAAAATGTGTTTTAATTGAATACATATCTTTATTGATTACCAGTATAAAAATATTTTATATTTCTTTTTCTCTATTGATTATTCAAAACCTCGTGAAAATGGATGTTTTGTATGTATATGACTTTAATACTTTAATTTTTCTTGAAATACTTTTTCTTCATATTTTGAATTAAAATAAATTAAGAAATGAATGATGAATTCAGGTGATATTGACAAGAATCCATTTGGGATCTCTCGTTTTCATATGGTACATGTCGATGATGTGGCACGGACACACATATTCTTACTTGAACATTCTAATCCAAAAGGAAGATATAATTGTTTAGCATTCACTACAACTGTTGGTGAAATAATTGACATGATTTCTTCAAAGTATCCTGAAATTCAAATTCCAAAATCCAAGTGAGTTCTACACATATGAAGTCTTCACAATGAAATTTAAACTTATGTGATTTTCTTTAATCGTTACTAAAATTGTTATTCAATTTATTTTTTATTTTATAGATTACTTAAGGGAGCTAAAAGTCGTAATTCTCCACAATTAACATCAAAGAAACTCTGGGATACTGGATTCAAATACAAGTATAATATTGAGGAAACAATTGAGGATACAATTAAATGTTGCAAGGAAAAGGGTTATCTTTGAACCATAAAATTAACTAGATGAATGATGATATTAAATAAATAAATAAATAATATGTCATTATTTAATACTTGGGTTATTTTCTACATTGACACATAAATGTGTAAATTTTATTATTCTATTGCAATATGAAAGGTGAAATGAAAAAGGAACTATATTGAAATAAAATGAATAAGGGTTTGATGTTCTATATTAATTGTAATGGCTATCAATCAAGTCATTTATTCAGATCTTTTTTATTAAGAAAATGTTATTATTTAATTTTGTTAATGTGTGAGATACTTTTTAGTGAGGAGAGAAAGAATTAATAATAAAGAAATAATGATTATATTATTCACTTGAATTGTATAAATAATGATATAAACTATGACTATTTATATACAACTCTAATTGAGCTTAAACTTATCAATTTGAATTATATTTGATATTATATCTAATATCTCAACATATCTAACTTGAAATATATTTGATATTATATTTAATATCTCAACATACAACATATAATCCAAGTCGTCGAACCTACGCTAATCATAGTCAATCTGAACTATTCTTAATTTCTTTCTCAAATTTCGGAATATGTCGATCTTTAATCCTTTGGTGAAAATATCGGCCAACTGCGCTTCACTTGAGCAATGCCTAACCTCAAGTTCAAATTGACCTTTTCCCTCAAGAAGTGAAATCTAGCTTCGATATGTTTATTTCTTACATGCAAAACTGGATTCTTTGCCATATTTATGACTGACTTATTGTCGATTTGCAACACAAGAGGTTTCTTCACTTCGACAGTCATTTCTTCAACTAGTGGTCTGATCTAAATTGCTTGACATGCAGCATAGGATTCTGCTATATATTCAGCTTTACACGATGACAATGCCACCACAGGTTGCTTTTTTGAACACAATGAGATTGGGACACCAAATACTTGAAAGAAATATCCAGTTGTGCTTCTTCAATCTTCCTTATCTCCATACCACCAGCATCTGAAAAACAAGTAATTGTTGCTTCTTTTTCTTTCAGAGTCTCGTCAAAATAATATTCCATAGTTTCTCGATCCTTTTAAGTATCTCATAATTCTTCTTGCAACCTTCATGTGTGACACCCTTGATTCACTCATGTATCTGCTCACTAATCCGACTGCAAAACCTATATTAGGTCGACTGTTGCACACATATCTCAGAGATTCCACAATTTGTTTGAACACAGTTACGTCGACTTAAAGAGAAATGTAAAAGTCTTTGATTATAAAATGTGGTGTTTCAAACATACATTTTCAGTATTATTTCTCACGCAACGGGTACTCAAATAGTATTGAATGACTTGTACAGTTAGTTGAACACACGTAAATCTACATAAACTTCCTATATTTATACTAAAAACTAGATAACCGTCGAGGAGTTACTTTGCTCTAGGATGAGTACAAGTGTCTTCTGCATGTGCTTCGACCTCTATCTTCATGCCACAATACTTTCCTCAACTACTAAGCGAACTTCTTTTCCCTCCTTTCTTCAGATTCAAGATCACCTGTTGCTGATACGAGATTTCCTTTTAGTCGAAGGCCCTGGAGCCCTTTCAGTCGAAGGCCGCAAGAACTTTCTGGTCGAAGATTAACTTTAACTAAGAAATTTCTCTAAGTATTTTTCCAATCTATCGAAGTATTTCCAGCTTAGATTTGTTCAATCTGTTTTTGGCCTATAAGGCCAATTTGTTGTGGGTGTCGAATTTAGGAGCTAACATTGCCGACACATGCAGTTAATTATTGTGCAGAAAACTTATTTAAGTGAATGAGACTAATTTTAAACATATTTCAGATGATTCCTAAGATCTCTAAATGCAAGGGGTGCCAAAACAACTCAGGGATACCGTCTAATATACAGAAATACTAAGTTCTTATATTTTTGACATCATGCAAAACATATCTAAAGGTAAATTACACTCACAGGAGTAACTACATATTTCATTCCTTTCCTTAGAAGACTTAATTGCGTTGAAGTCGCCTCCAAAACACCACTCACCATCATAAACAAAGCTTTCAACCCGATCAATTTCGCTCACAATTTCTTTTTATCCGAAATGTGGCACGGAGAGTAGATGCAAACAACATAAATCAACAAATCTCCCCACTTTAATTGAATTCCAACAAACCCATTTCTTGGAAACTGAAGAAAACATCGAAAAGATTAGGATTCCACAACAAAATGATACCACTCGATTTATCTATTAAATTCTTAAAAGTTCAATGCACATCCTTGTTTCTCCCTAGAGAATGAACCAAAAAATCCGCCGTGCATTGTTGTTTTGTCTATTGAATATGACAAATGTCCACTTTCCCATAAGAAATAAGATTATTTAAGATTTTTCTCTTTGATGAAATTTTTCTCCCTCCTCTGATGTTAAGGGAGAACAAATCCATTTAGAACCCCTTTTAGATGTTTCCTTCGATTTGAAAGAGACCCAATTTTCTCGTGACTCGTGAGATATTTATTAATTAGTTTTTTAGTACTCTCTCCGTCCTAAAATATAAGAGAAAAAATATATATTTTTCTTATCCTAAAATATAAGAGAAAAAAATCAACTTTCATGTTTTTCAAGATAAAATTAAATGCAAATTGCATTTAATTTATATTTTCTCTCATCTTTTCTATAACTAACAACCAATTAGAATTATTTTACATCTTCCTAAACACTTTATTTTTAAAAAACTACGAGTCAAATGGTTATGCTTTTACTTTTTTTTAATAAAGATGTTTTTATTTTTTCTCTTATATTTTAGGAGGAAGATAATAACTTATAAGTCACATATATACTTTTAACACATTTTCTAAACGAATCTGAGAGAGAAAAAATCCTTCATTCAAACTTCTCTGAACTTTTTATTCAAAGATTTGGGTATAAGTTATGCGTATATGTTCAAAGTTTCCTAGTAGTAGTTATTAAAGAAGCTGAAAAGTCATATTGAATTTTCTAGTTTTTTTATTTTATAATGCCAAAATTTAATTGTCATGCAATGCTAATATTGAATTTACTTGCTAGTCAAGTAAATCTCATTTGTACATAGTTTCAGTTAGTTACTTGTATAGTTTCTGTTTAGTTTGTTAAAGGTAGTTAGGAGTTTGTTAGTTTGTTATTGAATCAGTTAGTTAGTTATTGATTCAGTTAGATTAGATAACTTGTATATAACTACCTAATGTATCACTCTTCCATTCATAAAATAAGAATGAGAGCTTATTTACCTCTGAGTTTCTACAAATTCTACATGGTATCAGAAGCAAAATCACAGTTCCGCACATTTCTTCATTGCTTTCTTCCTCATTCAACAATGGCAGCAATGAATCATTCTTGATTGTTTATTGTTGATTGTAGTCTCAGTTTTTCTGCTCTCAGATTTGTGATCTTCTTTGATCTTACTTGCTAGTTTCTGCTTGCGTTTTCTTCTTGATTGAGTTCAGAATCGGTTTTCTGGTGATTTGAAGCTTTCTCTTCTGCACCAATGGCAGCTCGGATTCAAATCACAATCGTGAACCTTCAAGATTCAACGTATGATTACTACATTCACCCTAATGAGAATCCATCTATGGTTCTTGTTTCTCCGATCCTTGATGGTAGCAATTACCATGGCTGAGCTCGAGCCATGGAAATGTCATTGCAGATGAAAAATAAATTTGGTTTTGTGGATGGTTCGATTCCAAGGCTTACAGACAATGATCCAATGCTTTCAGCTTGGAAGAGATGCAATAATCTGGTGCTTTCATAGATCAATCATTCAGTGTCATCAGAAATTGCAACTAGTATTATATGGCTTGATTCTGCAACTGCTGTGTGGAAGGATCTTAAAGCACGTTTTTCTCAAGGTGATTCTGTTAGAATTTCTCATCTTCATCATGAATTGTATTCTTTGAGTCAAGGTGATTTGTCTATTACTGCATATTACACTAAGATGAAGATTCTATGGGATGAGATGTGTAATTACAGAACTATTCCTGCTTGTTCTTCTCCAACTGCTTGTTGTTGTGAAGTTGTGAAAACTTTCAAGCAGTATAGAGATAATGATTGTGTTCTTTGTTTCTTGAGAGGATTGAATGATAATTATGCTGCAACTCGATCTCAAATTCTTCTTATGGATCCCTTACCAGATCTGCCTAAGATCTTCTCCATGGTGATTCAACAGGAAAGACATCTAAGCATTAGTGTGCTTCCTGATTCTGCAGCTATGATGGTTCAGGCTAATTCTTCTCAGGCTTTACCTTCTCAGCATACTGCTTCTGGTAAAGGCAAATCTTCATATCAGAAATCTTATGGAAAATCTAACAGGAAGTGCACACATTGTGGAAGACAGAATCACACAGTTGATACTTGCTTTCAAAAGCATGGTTATCCACCTGGATTTCCAAATGGATACAAGCCAAATAAGGCTTATATTGCTACCACAGGGGCTGATGCATCAGTTGATGAAGAGCAGTCTATTTCTCCAGGCTTGGAACTCACAAGGGAGCAACTTAAAGGTTTACTAGCTTTGCTTCCTTCCTCTAAACCAACAGCTACCTCACATTCTTCCAATCTTGTGAGCACTCTTAATGTCATTACCAATGGAATAGGTAAGTCCATTATTACATTGCACTGGATCATGGATTCAGGTGCTACAGATCATATAGCATGTTCCTTACATTTCTTTGTTTCTTATCATGCTATAAATCCTGTTCAAGTTTCTTTACCAAATGAAGCCAGTGCAGTTGCACATTACATAGGGACAGTTATTCTTTCTCCTACCTTGATTTTATATAATGTCCTTTATGTTCCTAGTTTTTCTGTCAACTTGATCTCTATCTATAAATTGACCAAAACTCTGCCCAACAGGCTTGCTTTTAGTGATAATTATTGTTATGTACAGGACAAGATCACCTTGAAGATGATTGGGAGAGCTGAGATCAAGAATGGCCTTTACATCATGCAATTACCTCCATTTCCTCAAGTGCAACCTTTAGCTTCTTTTCATACTGTTTGTATGGCCAAATCATTACCAACTTCTATGCCTCATGTTTGGCATCATAGATTAGGCCATCTTTCTTCTAGTTGTTTTGAAAAACTTCAAAAATTGTATCCAAATATACCTTTTACTCATTGTGATCCTTGTGATTCATGTCATTATGCAAAACATAAAAGATTGTCTTTTCCATTAAGTACTTCTGTTTCAGAAAACATATTGTCTTTGTTACATGTTGATATTTGGGGTCCATATTGCCATGCTTCTATAACCGGTGCCAAGTACTTTTTAACAATTGTAGATGACAAATCTAGGTTTACTTGGATCAAGTTATTGAAGAATAAATCAGAAGCTAGATTAGCATTACAGAATTTTATTGTTTATGCACAAAAACACTTTCAGAAACCAGTTAAGACAGTAAGAACAGATAATGGTCTAGAGTTTCATATTCCTGATTTTTATAACTCTCATGGCATTAAACACCAATTAACATGTGTAGAAACCCCTCAACAAAATGGGGTTGTTGAGAGGAAACATCAACACATTTTGAATGTGGCTAGGGCTTTGATGTTTCAGTCCAAATTAACAATTCATTTTTGGTCCTTTGTTGTCCTTCATGCAGTATACTTGATTAATGTCTTGCCCTCAAAAGTTCTTTCTTTTCAATCACCACATATGGTTCTACATAACATCAAACTTGATTTAGATAACTTAAGAATTTTTGGTTCATTGTGTTATGCAACTACCATTACAACTCATAGAACTAAATTTCAGGAAAGGGCTAGGAAGTGTGTCTTACTAGGATATAAGGAAGGGGTAAAAGGATATCTTTTGTTTGATTTACATACAAGAGAAATTTTTCTATCTAGAAATGTCATATTTTATGAAAATATCTTTCCTTTTCTTGATCATAATACTGCATCACAAGAATCACAAGATACTTTGTTCACTGTATCTTCTTTACCTACTGAAATCAATGCATCTTTGCTTGAACCTTCATCTTCTCATATTCCTGTTGTTCCTCCAACTTTGCCTGTAAGACAATCCACCAGAACCAAAACAAAGCCATCTTACTTACAGGATTATCATTTCAATTTGGTCCATTCTTCATCTCAGGATTCTCAACCATCTTCAACATCTTCTACTGGTACACTTTATCCTCTTTCTGATTTCCTGTCTTATTCTTCCCTTTCACCATCCTATCAGTCCTATGTCTTTTCTTGTTCCACTTTGGTTGAACCAAAAACATATAGTCAGGCTGTTAAAGAGGAATGTTAGAGGGAAGCTATGAACCTTGAACTTGCAGCCCTTGAGAATACTAAGACATGGAAATTGACTTCTCTACCACCTGGAAAACATCCAATTGGATGTAAATGGGTGTTTAGGATCAAGAGAAAAGCTGATGGCACTGTAGAGAGGTTCAAGGCTAGGCTGGTTGCCAAGGGCTACACTCAACAAGAAGGTTTAGATTACTTTGAAACTTTTTCTCCAGTGGTTAAAATGACTACTGTTAGATTGGTCCTTGCATTGGCAGCATCTAAGGGTTGGTTCCTAAAACAATTAGATGTTAACAGTGCTTTCCTCCATGGTACTTTGGATGAAGAGGTGTATATGACACCTCCTCCAGGTTATAAAACTGCTCATCCTAATCAAGTTTGCAAACTCATCAAGTCCTTATATGGCTTAAAACAGGCCAGCAGGCAATGGAATCATACACTCACTGCCTACCTTCTTTCCTTGGGTTACAAATAATCACAGAGTGATTACTCTTTGTTTGTAAAATCACATGCTGGTCATTTAACAGTTTTGCTCATCTATGTAGATGATATTGTCCTCACAGGTGATGATCTCGAAGAAATCACAAGTGTTAAACAATTTCTGGATGCTAAATTCAAAGATCAAGGATTTAGGGGATCTCAGATATTTTCTTGGTTTTGAAGTAGCAAGGTCTAAACAAGGCTTGGTGATTTCACAGAGGAAGTATGCCTTGGAGCTCATTGAAGATGCAGGTTTACTTGCTAGTCAACCTTCCTGTACTCCAATGCTTCCTGGTTCTAAGTTTCCATCCATCACAGATAATCCATTTCCTGATATTGAGGCTTATAGAAGACTCATTGGCAGGCTTTTGTACCTCACTAACACAAGGCCTGATCTGTCATTTGCAGTGAGCACTTTAAGCCATTTTTTGTCTAAACCAATGAGAGAACATCATGATGCAACATTGAGAGTTCTTAGGTACCTCAAACAACAGCCAGGACAAGGTTCGTTCTTTCCCTCAGAATCTTCACATAAAATCACAGGTTTTTGTGATTCAGATTGGGCTTCATGTGTTGATACTAGGAGGTCCATCACAGGTTACAATGTGTTCTATGGAGCTTCTTTGATTAGTTGGAAGTCTAAGAAGCAAAGCATAATCTCCAGATCATCTTCTGAAGCTGAGTATCGGGCCATAGCAACCACAGCTTGTGAAATTCAGTGGTTATTGTACCTTCTCAAGGATCTTTATCAACCAATCCAGTAGCCTGTAGCTTTGTTCTGTGATAATTTGTCTGCCATTCACATTGCTCAAAATCCAACATTTCATGAAAGGACAAAGCATATTGAGATTGATTGTCATTTGGTCCGAGATAAGATACAACAAGGCATTCTTAAACTTATGCCTATTCCGACACATGCTCAGTTAGCAGATCTGCACACAAAGGCTCTTCATGGTCCTCAGTTTCAACTTCTATTATCCAAGCTTAGTCTCAAAAATTTGTACATACATGCCTAAGCTTGAGGGAGGGTATTGAATTTACTTGCTAGTCAAGTAAATCTCATTTGTACATAGTTTCAGTTAGTTACTTGTATAGTTTCTGTTTAGTTTGTTAAAGGTAGTTAGGAGTTTGTTAGTTTGTTATTGAATCAGTTAGTTAGTTATTGATTCAGTTAGATTAGATAACTTGTATATAACTACCTAATGTATCACTCTTCCATTCATAAAATAAGAATGAGAGCTTATTTACCTCTGAGTTTCTACAAATTCTACAGCTAATGTACAATAAAAGTTCTATCAATCAGTTATAAAATATTTCGTACAAAATTAAACTTTTTATTATAATTGTAATTAATTAATATTATATAAAATATACTTCCCCTTTGTGTCGCCGTTATTATAAACAAAGATTTATTTTTATATTTGATTTAATAACAAGATTTAGATATATTACACTCACAATTCATTCAAAACGAAACTAATAGTAATAAGTACACAGAAATATCATCCCCCACTTTTATTTGACCAAGTATAAATTCAACTTCTAGAAAATATTTTTTAATCCCATATTTTTCTAATTAAATTGTTAATTTAGAAATATTACAGTATTTGGAAGAATTAGTACGCCCACAGAAAGTGTAATCCAGTAACAATATGTGTCTATATATACATTTGTATGAACGTCAACTTTCATACAGAACTAACCAAAATAAAAAGCGTGAACAAATATTTTACAAGAGAAGTGTGATAATGGCAGAAGGAAAAGGAAGAGTTTGTGTAACAGGAGGTACAGGTTTTATTGGTTCATGGATTATCAAGACACTTCTTGAAGATGGTTACACTGTTAATACCACTGTTAGAGCTGATCCAGGTAAAATATTCATTTCTACTATATTTTCAATATTAATTTCTACTATCTTCATAATATTCTTTTCCATTAAATTGTAGAGAAAAAGAGAGATCTTAGCTTTCTCACAAATCTTCCGGGTGCATCTGAAAAACTAAAATTTTTCAATGCTGATCTTAGCAATCCAGAAAGTTTTAGTGCAGCCATTGAAGGTTGTGTTGGAATATTCCACACTGCCACTCCAATTGATTTTGAAGTGAATGAACCGGAGGAAATAGTGACAAAAAGAACCATTGATGGAGCATTAGGAATTCTAAAAGCATGCAAAAATTCAAAGACAGTAAAGAGAGTTATTTACACTTCAAGTGCTTCAGCAGTTTTTCATCAAGAGAAAGAAGAAGATGTAATGGATGAATGTTATTGGAGTGATGTGAATATTCTAAGAAATCTGAAGCCATTTGCTTGGTCATATTCAGTTTCCAAGACACTGGCTGAGAAAGCTGTTCTTGAATTTGGACAACAACATGGTTTGGATATTGTCACTCTTATTCCATCTTTTGTTGTTGGACCCTTCATTTGCCCTAAGCTTCCTGGTTCTGTTTATGGTTCACTGCCTTTCTTATTTGGTAAGTGCTTTTTTTCAAGACTTTGTTAATATTGATTTAAAAGTTTTAAAAATATAAAACTGTAGCATTTAGTCTAATGAAATGTTTGTATGAGATAATTCAAAATTAGAATGAAATTTTTAAAATTTAAGTGATTCAATTGTTTTAATTGATTTTCTTTATTTTAACATTCGGATAAGATATTACAACTATTTATTGTTAAATTTTACAAAGTTTTAAGATTTATTGGATCAAATTTAAATATTTTGGAAAATACGGATCAATTTCATTAATTTTGTAAATTCTAAAAGACAAATTTATAAAATTTAAAAATTACTAATGACTTATTTACAACTTTGAATATTTTAAGTGTTAATTTAAAATTTTCAAAAAATATGGAGACTAATTTCTAAAATTTTAAAGATTAATAATAATCAAGTTAAAATTTATATTGTATGTATAATAGAAGAGAAATTTTTAATATAAGTGTTATTTTAAATTCTTCAAATTTAGTTTGTACAAAACATTTCAAAGTATTCATTATTTTAAAATTGTTTTTGTATTTTTATTCAAATCATTTTAAATTTCTTTAAAAAATAATAAATTTTATTAAAATATTAAGTGTCATTTAATTATTATTTTTGGAATTTTAAAAATAAAATCTTTTGAATTGGACAATGGTTACTTCTATTTAGATACTCTTTTGTTTTTTATTATAAGTCATTTTGGAGAAAAAAAATTGGACCACAATATAAATTATTTTACAATATCAATAAATAATTAATACTATTTTTCTATTTTACTCTTAAATAATGTAAATGTATTTTCTTTATATCATTAATGAAGAACAATTTTATAAAAAAATATTATAATTTATAATTTTGATATAATAATTAATACTTTCTTTATATGTGTGAAAAATTATAATAAAAACGGAGGTAATATCAGTTTTTACTAGCTACATACCATATTAATGTCTTGTATGTATATCAGTTTTTCTTCTAATGTGTTGAATACATAATACTAGTAGATACTAATATATTTAATATTTAAATTTTGAATTAAAAATTAATAAATAAACGTTGAATACAGGTGATATTGACCAGAATCCATTGATTGCATCTCGTATACATATGGTGCATGTTGATGACGTGGCACGAGCTCATATATTCTTACTTGAACATCCTAATCCAAAAGGAAGATATAATTGTTCACCATTTATTATAACTTTTGATGAAATAATTGACATTATTTCTTCAAAATATTCTGAATTTCAAATTCCAAAATCCAAGTGAGTTATTCATATTAATTAATTGTCTGTCCTTCACCATGTCAATTACTTAACTATATTTATGTGATCTTTCTTTTATTCTTACTAATATTACTATTCAATTTGTTTTCTTGTTTTACAGAGTGCTTATGGGAGCTAAAGGTCCAAAGCTTCCACATTTAACCTCAGAGAAAATTATGAATGCTGGATTTGAGTTCAAGTATAACATTGAAAAAATGTTTGAGGATACAATTGAATGTTGCAAGGAGAAGGGTTATCTTTAAACCATAGAATTAACAAGATGTTTGATAATAATTAATTAATGACATGTCACTATTTAATATTTGAGTTTTTTTTTTGCAATTTGGACACATAAATTTGTAAGCTTTATAGTTGGAATACTTAATAAAACCACGGTGCACTTATATGATACGTCAAAATAATAGTTCAATGAATGAGAAATGCTTTGGTTTGAAATATCTTCTTCGATCTTGTATTTATAGTGCACTTCAATTTTGATTTTAAGCCCAAAAAGCCAAAATATTACGTAGTATACTTTAAGATAATTTCTTATCTCACCTACATGGATAGTACTTTAAAATTCTAAAATTGTATTTGGGTAAATTTAGATATATAAATTTGAATGCACCTTTCATAAAATAATCATCAAAGTAATTCGGATATGCATCTCCGAATTTATCCTGAATTAATTCGGAGATGTATACGTGAAAACACTTATGAACCTATTTATTATGCATTTTTGTCGAATTGACGCAGTTTTCGCTGACTCTCTATCAATTTTTACTAATATTAAAGTCATAAGAGTTGTATCTTCGTGTTCTGACCCTTCTGTTCCTGAGTTTATGTCCTTTACCCGACCTAACGTGAAAATTCGGTTTTCTGGAAAATCAACTCTTAATCAAAATTTTACCGTGTGAATTAATATAAAAAAAACCAAGGATCAAAATCCTAAATTCCTTGGTTTCCTATTTAATTTGATTTATTTTCTGTTTTCATTTATTCGAAAAATTCTAGAAAATTTTGTAGACACTTAATTTGATTTTATTTGATTTTTAGTTATATTTTTAAATTTTATAATTTATCTTAATCGTTTTTCTATTTTTCAATTGTTTTTCTCAATAGGAAATTATTGATATTTACATGATTTTTTTCATTGTTGATGCATGGTTACTAGGTGTGTCGATTCAGATATATCTAATACTAAGTTTTAAAAAAAACCCAACTATGAACTTTTCTGATATGCATATCTGAATTCATCATTTTTTTGTAAAAAATAAGGTTTATTCGAAGATGCATATCCGAAAATATATTTTTCCAAAACAAAAAGGTTTATTCGAATATGCATCTCCAAAATTAAGTATTTTGTGGAAAATGGGTGTGTTCGGAGATTCATCTCTGAAAACATTGAGAATTTTAGAAATTTCGCGCAGGGTATGAGAGAATGTATAATGGTGCAATGAGAAATTTCCTACTTTATTTTATTTTGTTTTTGAAACCAAATGGAAATGCAGTAATTAGGACTAAGTTAATGTTGCATGGGCTTAATTCAATATGACATTTCTTTGGGAATTTCTTTTCCCACTCTTATGGTGTGGAACGTACCTTTAAAAATCACAAAATACCCTTAGATATTTTTTTTAGATATATATCTGAACGCACAAAATCTTATTTTTTTTCAAAATTAAGTTTGGAGATGAAACTATGAATTTTTCTATGGTGAATTCGCAAATACATCTCCAAAATAACCTTTCTACTTTCGTAAATCAAGCAGTCACCACATTTCTGGAAAAAATATACTTCGGAGATATATCTGCGAAAATTTCTGGGATAAATTAGAAGATGCATCTCTGAAATCTTGCCTGCATATTTCTTGTGCAGAAACATTAATCCAAAGTCATTTTAATTCGATTAACGTCCATTATTTGATTCAAAGATTAATAAATATGAATATCATAGAACATGATAATGCATTAATTTAAAAGACAATCATAGTACAAAAATCCTTCTCAAAGTATGGAAATGTTGAATGTAGTAGGTAGAGTGAGTTGGGATTGGTAAGATAGAAGTAGAGGTTCTTATTTTGTTTGAAAAGTTGACTGAAACAATTTTGCTCACGAGCTCCAATGGGAAAGAAAAAATATTTGAAAATGAAGAAGGAGAAGAAGGAGGGTCTAGAGTGAGGTTTAAATACATTTACCTTATCCAGAGATGAATCTCCGAAAGAATTTCTGAATTTAAAAAAATGGATTAATTATAAGATGTATTTGCAAACATACTCTAAAACACCTTCCAATACTATGGAAAAGACCTTTCGTAAAATAAAAATTACAACGACCTTCATGTTAACCATGGTAATAACTCATTTTTGGACTTTTTCTTTTGTATTTACTAAAAGACATTTCACTACAGTCATAGTTAAAACCCATAGTAAAATGTATCAGGAGTTACAGGGTTCGAATCCCAGCTCCAACAATTTCCCGTTTTATCGTCACAAAATGGGATTGTCCTTGTATATCACCACGATTCTTTTAGTCAACCATGGTGTAAAGTTCAATCTTTTCATCATGGTTCGTCTTATCAACCCTAGTGAAAGGTGATACTTATTTATATATAAGCGAAGTAATTTCTCGCTCAATACATACCAGTCGTTTCTCTCAAAAGAAAACTCTAATATATTTCACTCTTCTCTCTCAAAACAAAACCCTAAAATCTATATCACTCATCTCACCTACGACAACCTTTAGGTTCTTTTTCATCAAACTAATACAGTTATATCGCCTTCTTCAAACCTATAACTATCTTCAGGTTCGTTCATTAAACGTATGCAACGCTGTCGTTTATGTTTCTCTTTATCTATAATTGTTTAGTTTCTATTTCTACTTATTATTTATGTTTAAACCCTAACACATAATGTTTAAATCTCATCTATAATTGTTTTTGTTTCAAAATCTAACATATAATGTTTTGACTTGTTTATGTTTCTGTTTACTTGTAGGTATAGATGGATGGATGATAAAATTAACAAGGATAAAGCTAAAGTGAGCGTAGAAAACTTGTGTGAGTTCTGCAATCACATGTTTGTTGCTCTCACTTCAGCTTCATCCTCCTTTCCTTTCATTTTAGATTTCCTTATGGGATATGTATGTTCTATGTTGTTTAAGGTTTTTTGTTGATGAATGTTTTTGTTAATATTTATTTTTGACGAGTTTATTATATCTTACGTGGTTACTTGTGTTTCCAACATTTTACCGAATATATAACTTTTCGAATTGTATTAGAAAATTATAGTATGATATATAAAGTTATATTTGAAAACAAGTTACACTTTCAATTATAGACAAGAATCCTCCAGTCCATTATATGCACTTTGCTCTTTAATAGTGGAACTTGGTTTATTGCTTTTTATTTTTCAACTTCCCCTTCCTTCATCTCTAATTTAGTTTGCAATATAAATAATATGTTGCAAAATAAACTAGAGGTGAAGGAATGGGGGTTGAAGAACTAGAAGCACTAAAATAAATTTTTACAGTTAAAGAGCAAAATACGGATAAAGAGTTGAAGAGTTCTTGTCTAGCATTAAACATGTAATTTGTTTTTCTAATATAACTTAATTTGTCATATTATAGTGTTTTAGATTATACTGAAAGGTTATATATTTAGGGAGAATTGGTGAAATAAGCATTCCACATAATTTATAATAAATTTAGTGTATATACTACAATGGTTGTTTATAACATCCGTTGTTAAAAGTTTTTTAAAATTATATCACAATGGTGATTTCAAATAACCGTTGTGACAGTTAGCACACTTCTTGGCCCATAATCACGGTCATGCACCCGTGGTGGAAATTTTCATACATAAATCACCATTTACCTCACAACGGTTGATCATTCTTTGTGGTATCTGTTGTACCCCAAAATTTTCCCTCTCATTTTACAAGATCTTCGCTTACAGGGGTGGTTACAAACACTTGCTTGAAGAAAAAAATAACAAATTTTGAAGTTGGTCAAAGTGTCCTTCGATGGAGTGTACTTCGAAGGCATGTCAACACAATGTCTTTCGATTTGCATCTGAACAAAGGCGTCTTTGATTGGAATTTTAATGTTACTTCGATTGGTCCCAACTGAAGGAAATTGAAGAGAGCAGAATAAAGTTTTCGAGCAGTCAACAAGATCCTTCGATTCTCCTGTTAACAAGGCCTTTCGATTGACATTTTAACAAGTATCTTTCGATTGGCATGGTAACAGTGTCTTTCGATTGGCATCTACATAGTACCTTTTGATTGGCATGGTAACAGTATCTTTTGATTAGCATTCCAAAAGGTCCTTCGACTGGAACTTCAAAGGTCCTTCGACTGGAACTTCAAAGGTCCTTCGACTGGAACTTCAGAGTGTCCTTCGACTGGAACTTTAGAGTCTCCCTCAATCAGAACATCAGAATGAAATGACCTTCGAATGGAATTTCAGTGCAGAGTTTGTCTTAATCTAAGATGCTCTGATGAAGAAAGTTCTGAACACTTCAAATTAGAACTTAGACTCATCACAAGGCCAAGGGCTGGTCGAAGTTGTCTAATAGGGAATGTTATGAATAGTTTCGAATTGGACTTTAAAGCTGGCTGTTATACCCCAAAATTTTCCCTCTCACTTATCAAGAATTTGCTCACAAGATCTCCTTGGGCTCAAGACTGCACTAGGTTTGATCAGCTCAAGACACCTCCTAAAGCACTGATGACCAAAATTAGGGTTTGAGTTTGCACAAGGATTTTTGAACTTCCAATTCCCCATATGACTTTCATGGATCATTATGGACCCTCAAGATCACTCATGTCAAGTTTCAAGCTTTGGATCACACTTTTGCTCAGTCAATTGAGTAGTTGACCTAAAAATCAGCTGTATTGAGGAAAAAGTCAACCATGGCCAATTTACAGTCAAACTCCATAATTTTTTATCCACATCAACATTTTAGACTCAGATGTATCATTTGATCAAGTCTGTACCACAATTCTTCAAGAAATTTGATCAAATCTCCAAAAGGGCAAAATGGTCAAAATTATGGTTTTGACCAGGAAAGGGAAATTTCTGATTTTTGACCTAGAAAGTGGTTAATTGGTTTAAGGAATGATCTCAAGAGTCCAATTGCATCATTTTTGACCTAATGACATGGTTCAAAACATTGCAAGTCCATTGGATTGACAAATGAATTTTGCAGTCAACTGATCAAAAGTCAACTGTATATTGAAAAGTCAAACTTAGACTTTTTGGTC